CCCGAGGAGAGCGGGCTGGGCGACGATGACCTTGAGCCCCCCCTGCCCAAGAAGACAAAAAAGGTCAAGGAGAAGAGCAACGGTCTGGCTGCAGAGAGCGACGGCTCTGAGCATACGGTGAAGCTTTCCTCCGCTCTAAGCAACGATGTGACGTCCCCCGCAGCCCAGAGTGTATCTGGCGATGTGGCCGCTGGAGAACAGGACAGCGACGCGGAGGTAGTAACACTCTGCTAGCGGAGCCCTTGCCTTGCCTAATTAAAGCCCCACTGGTAATGAGTGGGCTTAATTACACATACTGGGTGCTGTGTGGAGACTTGGGGTGTGAGGGCTGTGGGAGTGCTAGGCTGCTGTCGTAGGCAGCGTTTGCCGCTGTTCCCCTTAGATTTACGGTACCTGGCCCTGGGCACGAGGGAGCGGCCAGCACCATGCCCGTTTCTACCCGAGCTGCGGGCGGGTGAGCGAAGCACAGCAGTACATGCACCAACACGTGGCAGCCGTCTCTCCTTGTGCTTTCCCCCTCGTGGTAAATGCCAAGCCGATTGGAGTAGCTTATCCTACAGTGGAGCAGCCTAGGTAGCAGGAAGTTTCCATGTACTAGCTCATCTTCATGTGGCAACTTGTTTTGTGTCCTGCAGCGCAAGGGTTTCTCCCTGCTGCACAGGCAGTCACCATCCCAGAAACGTGCATTGCTTTGTACTGTGACAGCACTTTCTCTCCTGGCAGGCCCTTTGAAGAAGTATTTAAGCAAGGTGTCCTGTAAGGGAAGGTCATGGTTATCCTCATTAATTCCCACTTCTGGAGTTCTTCCTGTTCAGATTTCACCCTTCGCCTTGCACACATGTGTGAGAGGGCCCTGTAGCTTGCCTTCCCCTGGATAGGGCCTTCTGTGGGTAGTTTTCTCTCTTGTGTTTAAGATGGGAACATGGATCAAGAGAGTGCTTTTTGTACATTGGGTGTAATGATGTGATCTCTCGGATCTTTGATGTAGAAGCTAAATAGTGAGTTTTCAGCAAGCATCTAATGGTGTGCAAAGTTAAGAAGCTGTTTGCGTGGTGTACTGAGTAGGTGTGATTTAGAGGGAAATTCCTGCTTCACACAGTGAATTGTGACGCCAAATATGTTTTGCTGTGAAAAACAGTTTTCTAATGATTTCAGAGGACTCCAGTTAAGATTTTTAACAAGTAGTTTCCCTTTCCTGACTTGCCAAGCATATGTGCATGACATGGTAAGATCACGTGGAAGGGGCGGTTGTTCCCTTTCATTCGCCATGGGTCTTAAAAAGTGGTGCAGGTATATCTGAACTAGGGATGAGATAGCAGTAGTCATGGTTTTGAACAAGTTGTTGCAGCTAACAAGAGCAGGAAGACCTTTGGCAGGACGTCTTTACTTAAGACTGATGTAAAAACAGGATTTACTTGTAGGAGTTCTGTCACGCTAACTGGTGCAGCCTGTGTCAGTGTGTTTTGTCTTCTAATACAGGCTGGCTGGATGCAAGTTTCCCACTCTACGCTGTGATGATGTTTTTGTTTGTGAAGTACCTGCATCACAAGAGTTTTCTTTCTTTTTAAACAGAAAGGAGGTAGCTGGTAAAACTGCAGTGATAAAGTAAATGCGCAGCTTTTCTTGTGTGCCTATATAGGGTACGTTATTTGCTCCTCTCTTAGGGGTAACAAGATTTTTTTTTTGTTTTTTTTTAATCCTGTTAGGAGCTGACAGAAGAAGCAAAAGAAGGCGCCTTCTCCAATTTTCCTCTCTCCGAAAACACCATCAACCTTCTCAAAGGTTAGTTAATGTGGCACAAAAAATTTCTGTAAATGTTTGTCCAGAATTGCATTCTGTTACCCATGCAAGCAGAGACAGAAGCCAAGGGTAAATTGTCCTAAATTGTCTTACATTTACCATGGAGTAAGAACACGCACATGAGTGGTCACTGTAGATTCAAGGAATCTACTGTTGTTAGTAGGAACAGAGTTTCTGTTTTGTTCCATTTCAAGTTCTGTCATTTTAAGGTGAGTTTATTCTTCCATGGTGTGTTTATTCCTACATATACATTCTAGAGACAGTGTTTTTCTTCTCATCAGCATCGTTTTACTTACTATGTATCTTTATTTTAATTCCAGTGTCTGCTGTCTACAATATCACTTCTTAAATAAGTGTAATGGTGTTTCCTATGTGGGGAGTATTTGGCTCCTGTGAGCAGATTGTCTCTGATTATTCTCATACTTCCAGGCTTTTTCATATCTCTTCTAGATTAGCTTTATTGCGGACGTAACCACTGTAGAGTTCTTCTTCTCTGTGTTGGGAAACTCTGCGATTTTTGTTTCCCAGACAAAATTCTCCTAGTTGCTTTACATTTTCCTTGTTCGGAAGTTTCTCTTGGATGGATTGTTTCACTTCCACTGTGCAAAATCTCTCTCAAGTTTTAGAATATCTTAAAATAAACACTGTCACCTCCTCCCCTGACCTCAAAACCAAGCTACCACAAAATCTTTGGCTGTATCAGAAAAAACATGTTTGTTGTTTTTATTTCCTTCTTTCCCTCGGGTTGTCTTATGCCAAACATCATAAAGAAGGCTTTATCTTATTGTGAATACTCAGCTGCGTGTTTAAGGGGGAATAGTTTTGATCTAGAGTAGGAGAGAAAACACACAGATGTGTATTTCTTCTAACTTTAACCTTCTTTTGTGTACACGATTTGACATAATGTGTCCTACATATTCGGGCTAGTTATATATGAGGGCTTCTAATTGTTTGTTCAGGTTGCAGTAGAATCAGCACCTTTTAATGAAACCTCTTTGGATTATTTTATAGCTCGAGGTGTAAAATACCTGTTCCCTGTGCAAGTGGAGACTTTTCAGCCCATATATGATGGCAAAGACCTGATTGCTCAAGCTCGAACAGGAACCGGCAAAACACTTTCTTTTGCTCTTCCGCTGACTGAAAAACTTCAGAGTGTCTCGCAAGATGGGAGAAGAGGCCGTTCACCAAAAGTAACTTACCACTTAAGGGTTAACACCAAAACCTTAGATTATGGCAGTTTTCAAAAGTGGTTCTGTAATTGCTTTGGGGACTTTGTTGGGCCTTCTGTCTCCTTTATTGGTGTTTGTAATACTGAACACTTTCCTCAGATCAGGAGCTACAATGTGACAGAGGTTTTGCAGCATCGCAGTGATAACATGTTTCGCTTTTAGGGTTCCTTGTGGCATTACTTGGGAGAGTGCTATCCTCAGCAAGTTAGCCCGTGGCTTTGGGGTTGAATCCCCTGCCTCTTCTCAGGTAGTGGTTGAGTAAGCTGGACTTGCCTCCGTTCACTGAGGTTGTTTCACACTAAATCCCATGGTGATAACTGAAGGCTTTTGGGTTTTTATTTTTCCCTCATGTCTGGAGGCTCAACTTAATGGATACAAGTGGCGTTTACATTTCTACTCAAGCATGAGATGGAACTGATAGCCAGATACCTGTGATCAGATATCATATTCCCTTGGAAATATCATTAGACTGAAAAACTGTTACAGTCTGCAGATTTGTTGCCTACTTCATCTTTCTATTTTATTAACTTTAAAAGTGATGTAAGTTTTAAAATCTTATTGTAGGGGGGAAGGATAGATACTGGAGGAAGGCAGGTAGGTGGAGAAGGAGGATATATGGCTAGGGTGTGTCATGCTATGTATCGTTTAAGATCTTACTACTCCAAATTGTTTAGTGACTGTTCCTATCCTTTAGTGCTGAACTGCACCTTCATTGGCCTTGGTAATGTTACTGAAGTGTCTATTTTATCTGGCATTAACTTAAGAAAAAAACTATCGCTGTTCTGCGCCTCAGTTATCTTGTAATTAATGCTTTGTCTTGTTTCCTCTTGCTGGCTATGAGGCTGTGATGTGCGGGCTCCAGGTGCAGGAAATATTTTTGGGATGGTGGGGAGTTGTGGGCACCTCTGGAACAAGTGTAGAATAAGATCGGGAATACAAGCTGTTTGACATGAAGTAAACCCTTTTCTCCTAGCACCCTCTCCCAAGCATAGCTGCATTTTTGTCTCTTTTCACTCTCCAGGTGCTAGTTCTTGTTCCAACCAGGGAACTGGCCACTCAGGTAGCCAAAGACTTCAAGAATCTCACCAGGAAATTGTCAGTGGCTTGTTTTTATGGAGGAACTCCGTATAAAGCACAGCGTAAGTAAACGCTAAGGAGTTACGACTGGATTAGAGTTGACTTTCTCCAGATGCATTCCATGAATAAAACTGGCTTTTTTACCCGCTCAGAGTTTCACTTCAGTTAGGAACCATGACGTTGCTTTCAAAGGAAGCAGAGAGCCTGGGTTGAATAATTTTAGTTCCAATAAATCTTTATTTAAAAGAATGGGTTTAGGTCTGCAAAGTGACTAGTCCTTTTACTTTCTTCTTTATTGCGTGTTTGTGTGTTTTTTGTGTGGACTTATATTGGGACTAGACAACTGTCCAAGGAAAAGGGAAAATCATGTATGTGCGTGTGGCTCTGTCTGTCTCTCTCCAGAGGTAACTGTGAAAAAGAATTTAGCTGAAAAACTAAAGCGTTTTTCTGTGATAAAGCTCTGGAGGTTTCTAATGCCGGCTCATTGCTGCTTGGAAATTGGCGTATCTTACTGTAACTTTGCTTGTGGTTTAGCTGGTATTCCCGACAGAGCAACTTGGACTGCCGATAAGCTTACTTGTTTGTTACTTAGACTGGACATGGTGCTTTATTCAGAGATTAAAGTGAAGGGCAGTCGTTTTTTGGTTCTAAAATTAGAAGTGTTGCTGTGTACTGGTAGCTTTTTACCTTGTTGTCTCTTAGCATTCTGACACTGTCCTTGTTTTTCTGTCTTTTCTTCCAGTTGATCTTCTTAAAAGTGGCATTGATATTCTAGTGGGAACTCCTGGACGGATCAAAGACCACATTCAGAATAGCAAGCTGGAACTTTCCAGCGTGAAGCATGTTGTTTTGGATGAAGTTGATCACATGTTAGACATGGGCTTTGCTGAACAAGTGGAAGAAATCTTAGGATTTGCTTATAAAAAAGGTAAATTCTGACATCAGGAGAGGAATAGAGGGCAATGCAGAAAACACAATTACGCTGCTTTGAAAACTGCAGGTGCACCCTCAACTTGAATCCTTTGCGTGATGCTAGTATTGGACCTCAGAGAAAAGAGTAAGGTAGAGTTGGAAAAGGTTCAAAGCAAGGTGACAGACAGCTGAAGGGCTGGAATGGCATCTCTGGGCGGGGGGGAAAAAAAAAGGCAAAAAAGCAACAAACCCAACCCAACTGCCTAAGCCCTAGTGCTCTTCATCCTGAGAGAGGTGACTGAGCATAGGGTTGGGGTTATGATGTGTCTGTACACTTGTCATCACACAAAGTTGACAACTAGGGAATATTTGCTCTCTTCTGATGTAATGGGCATTCAGCGAAGCCACCAGGTAGCAGGTACAGAGCAGAAGGAGGTTATTTTAATAGTGTGAAATTCCTTGCCACATTGTACTAGTGCCAGAAGTTTTGAAAAGTGACTTGAATTACTGGAAGTAGAAATACCAAGAATTACTAAAAGCAAGGGTATCACTTCTGGCTCTGGAAGCCAGAAAAAAGCTGGTTGCTGGCAGTGTTTCTTCACATCTTTGTTAACTTTGCTTGACTACTATTGGAGAGAATATATGAGCTTCATGGATCTTAGGTTTGACCCAGTACAGCCACTGTCATTTTTACATTCTCCCCATTTCTGCAGAGTTGGTCTTTGTCCTGACGCCAAAAAGTACAGAGAATTTTCTAAAAAAGGAAATCTGTATAGGTTTTGGAAGACTTGTTATAATTATTCAATCTTAAAAGTTTTCTTTGTAACTGGAAAATAAGTTGTAGGGAATAATAGCATTCTTTTGCAATGTGTGTTTGTTTCTGATCCTGTGGAGCTATGAAGGTAGGTTAAACTTTTTCAAGATACTGTTTGTTAAGCTGTTCTTACCTGGGGTAATCTATCTTGTCACGTAATTCTTCCCCCTGGTCTGCAGAGTGTCCTTTTTAGCCTGCCTTTTTCCTTTGCACATAGCCATATGTGCAGCTAGTTAGTGTTGGAATACCAGACAAGGAGGGATTGAGACAGGAGTTCTTTAAGGTATCTGGGGGGACTTCAGGCACGGTCTATACCATTTTTAGCAGATGATCTAGAAATGTGTCTTGCATTTCTTCTCAGGCAGGATGAAGGATTCAGTTTGGTCCAGTTAAAATTACTGTAATTTTGCCTTTGGTGTCTAAAGGGTATTAAAAAAGCTTTCATTGCTTCTAAGTTTTCTTCTTGTAGCTGACTTATTGCACATATAAACCTCTCAATTTGAGAGCAACTCTGTTGCTTTTTTACCAGTTCTCAAGTGTCAGAGTCTGTTGTGATGACTTAAATCGGTGGCCTTTCCTTCCAGGTTCTGAGAACAATCCCCAGACACTGCTGTTTTCTGCAACTTGTCCGCGATGGGTATATGATGTAGCCAAAAAATACATGAAAGATGGATATGAACAGATTGACCTGATTGGAAAGAAAACTCAAAGGACTGCCACAACTGTGGAAGTGAGTGATTCTGCTGCAGAGCAGTGCAGGTCCTGAGAGCATGTGGCTTGGATGAGATGGATTTGCATTGACTTTACAAATGCGGGTGTGGAATGACTTTTTACGTGATTGACAAAAAATTTTTTTAAGCAGAGCTTTCATATGGGGGCAGTAGTTTGCAAGCTTAAAAAAAAAAAAAAAAAATTTTCTGCATTCATTTTGTCTGTCCTGTGTGTGGCTGAAATTTAACATAGATGCTTATCATGTTTCTTTCCCAAACAGCACTTGGCTATACAGTGTCGCTCATCTCAGAGAGCAGGAGTTCTTGGGGATATCATTCAAGTCTACAGTGGCAGCCATGGGCGGACCATTGTCTTTTGTGAGACCAAAAAGGAAGCAAATGAACTGGCTATGAATGCTTCGCTCAAACAGGTACTGGCATCTGAACAGAGAGCTGCAGTTACGGATGTTCAGGGGTTGAATGCCCTGAAATAAATATGAGGTTGCAACTGTGTGGATGAAGTTGTTTCTGTGGGTGGTTTTAAGACTTACGAAAGCTATTTCTAAAAGTAGAGCTTTGCAATTAAAATACCTTCTTGGCTGCGATTATGAATTTATTCCTGTGGCTGTAAAATCATGCAGGACCAGATCAATAGAAAATACACAGCTTATGCTGAATAACCACGAGGTAGTAATAATGGTAATAACCAGGAGCTAGTATAGTGCACATATTCCATCTCATGTTAGTGTGGTCTTTGAGTTCCTGTCTCTTAATGGCTTTTATTCTTTGAACAGTCAGTTTTCAGGAAAATCCAACTAATACGGTAGAACAGAATGTTCTGTTGTCCTTGGAAGGTCATTTAATAATTCGTTCAGACCTCAGGTGATATATTGAGCAGGTTTTCTATGCTTGCTTGAATTTTTTTGAGAGTGGGAAAGGTGCTGGATTTTTTTCAGAGAAACTCCTGTTTGATACTAAATACTAATTTATGTCAAAAGAGCGGTGGGAATACATGGTTTGCCCAGTATTTGATAAATATCATATACCATTAAAATCTCGCAGCAACAATTTTTGTCTGTTGGCCCTGCTGCTTTCACAGTAAATCCAATGACTTTGTTATTGTGTCAGTATGTGACGCATCTTTCTCTTATACTATTAAGTTCTGCTTTAGCATGTTACCCATTTGAATTCTGATCTTGTGACACTCCTCTTTCTCCTTGTCAAACACTTGGTCTGTCTCTTGTCCCATTAAAAGTGGAGGTTGTTCAGATCACCTGTAGGATTTGGGAATGCCCTGAAATCCTCGCTTCGGCTTCTGTGTGTTTTGTCATGGCTTCCCAGGGAAGGGAGCAAAGTCTCCTGCTAGCTCTTGACAAATACTGCTTAAGTAAAGTTGCTTCCATTTGTTCCAGTGGAATTGAAAGCTGAAGTGGGCCCTTGTTGGCATGGCAGACTGCAAATTGTACAGTCTGCTGTTGGTATGCTACAAATAATAACGTTCTAGTAAAACTACTGCTTATGAGTATTATTGTCCCAGAGAAGGATCAAACCACAAAGTAGGATGCTTTATATTCCTTTGGTATCAGCTGTGTAATTATTTTCTGTTGCTCTGCACTATGTTTTGGGTTTTGTAATTAAATGTCTTTAGATACTGCGGCCTAGACTCCCCTGTTAAATGACATCTTAATGGTTTGTTTCACTGACAGGATGCCCAGTCATTGCATGGTGACATTCCACAGAAACAGAGAGAAGTTACATTAAAAGGCTTCAGAAATGGTGTGTTTGAAGTTCTGATTGCAACAAATGTAGCTGCCCGTGGTTTGGATATTCCTGAGGTTGACCTTGTTATACAGTGTTCACCACCAAAAGTAAGTCATTAGAGGAAACTAAAACTGTAGTTTATTTTTTTGTGGCAGAACAGTAGGTTATTCCTTTGTTTCACCGGAAGTATGTTCTGATTCACAAATGAAGTGGATTTTTTGTAAATGCAGGCCCAGAATTTCTTAGTTAAGCTTTTGTATTTTGAGCTTTGATTAAAGTAAAAGTGATGGGTTTTGGTTACTCTGGAAAGTCGCAAGATAGCTTTTGACATTGTTTCAGCATTTTTGAATCCCTTCTGAACATTGTTGAGTTTCATAACAATTCTAAAATACTTCTGCTGCCTTTTGCTTCTTTTGAAACTCCAGTGGAGCTTTTTATTTAAAAAAAAACCTTATGTCAATAGTGTTTGTTAAACCTGAGGCAGCATACCTTGGGCAGGGTAGCATACGCAGATCTGATGGGTTTATGTACAGTTACAAGTTTGGGTATAGAGATATAATGTATCACTCCTTAGGCTTCTGAATTAGAATTTAGCTTGCATTTTCTCTCTTATAATGTATAAATGTCAACAGTTTAAATGACATAAGGTTTTCTCGTGTTAATCTGAATTTCTGCAGGATGTTGATTCCTACATCCATCGTTCTGGACGTACGGGTCGAGCTGGGCGGACTGGGATCTGTGTTTGTTTATTTCAGAGAAGAGAAGAAGATCTTCTGAAACAAGTTGAGCACAAAGCGGTGAGTTGTACCTCAGACCTCTGCCTAATGAAATTATTCAGCTTCTGAAAAGACTCTGCCACTCTTAGATTTTTGTAACCGTGGGCTGCTCATGAGTCCAGTATGGGACTCATGTCCCATAGACTAATGGGCCTAAAATGTTGATATTTGGTAAGTGTTTGTAAATGCTTTTGTATCAGCCTGTTCTAATGTCTCATGAGTTTTCCCATGTTGGCAGTACTCTGTTGATGTCAGCAGGCAGACTGTGACAGGAATGCATGAAGGAGACCATGCCTCGCATTACAATCTGCATGTAAATTGGTGTAAAGTAGCTCTAGATTAACAAAGGCAGGAACTTAAAAGCTTTATTCTAGCTTTAGAAATAAATTAAATTAAGTAAGACTGTGTTGATATTCTAAACAGTAACTAGAGGTCTCAGTGATGTGACTTAGGTAGAGTGCTGAAAATACCTTTAACTGTAATTTGTTTTCTTGATTTCAGGGGATTACATTTAAGCGTATAGGTGTTCCCTCTGCTACAGATGTAATTAAAGCTTCAAGTAATGATGCCAAAAAGTAAGTTTATTTGCCTGTTCTTAAAAGTTGTCTAGAGATGTTACCAACAACAATGCTGTTAATGCAAAGCTTTAAGAGATCAGACCTGTATGTGAGCAGGTCTTTGCCTATGTCGCAAAAGGCAGCCGCTTTGCATGCGGACACTGACTTGTTTTCATAAGGTGATATCAATAAACCTCTGTGTGCTTGAACGTAGACCATTAGAACATAATGTTCTCTAAGTTCTTGCAAAAATTAACCTTTTTTTATATCATCAGGAATCAATGGCAGAACAGTGATAATACTGTCATGAGGGGAAACTGGTTTTGTTCTCTCAGATGATACAGTAGCAGTGCGTGAAGAGCAATACTTAGTGTAATGAGGAGTTACTCTGCAGTAGTGAGGGTGTTGTAGCCCTGTCCTGTGTTCTTTGTATGGTTTTTTTCTCAAGGGTTGTGGTTTTTTATTCCATGCAGCTCTGTTTACATTTGCTGCCCCATTGGTGGAAATTGCATTGGCAGAGGTTATTATAATTAGCGATGATTTGACCAGTGTAAAGGAGATCATGGGCATGGGCATTGGGTTCACAGCGTACTGAAAAATGGTGGGAGGTGCTGGTGTATCAAAAATAGCATTAGAGAAGCAGCTGTTCTCAGTTTCTCAGCTTGTTTTCACTGCCTCTCCCAGAAATAACCCATTTAATCAGCTTGCACTGAGAGCAAGAAGTGCCAGCAGTGGCATTGTAGTGGTATGCTTCCCTTCCTTGTGAAGGAAAAGCATGGGAATCTTGCATTTGCTGGAACACTTTCTTGTGGATTCTTGGGTACAGCCTTAAGAATGCTGATATTTTAGAGCCTTCCCGTGATGTTTTTATCTATTCTTTCAAACACGCCACATCTTGAGCACATCTTTCAAGAGGCTTGGCTTAATAAACAGAGAAGATGGGTATTCAGCATCCTGAAGGTGTTGAGTTAAATGAGTGGTAGTGAAGCATGAGCATGATAGCCAAGGCTTTTAGACATAATTTGTTAATCTTGAAAGTGTCTGAAGTCTATGTCTTAAACATGACTGCATTTCACACTGGCCTTCGCTGATCTCTTAAACTTTTGTTGTCACCATGTAGGTTGTTGGAGGCCATTCCTCCTTCTGCAGTAGACTACTTCAGAAAATCTGCTCAAGAGCTCATAGACGAAAAAGGGGCGGTTGCTGCCCTGGCTGCAGCTCTAGCTCATATTTCTGGGGCATCTCACATACAGCAGCGCTCCTTACTCAACTCAACTGCGGTAAATAATATTATACCTGTGTTTACAAGAATGGATAAATTGCTTGCGTCCAGTTCAAGTGTGGCATCTTCTTCTCAGGCTCTTTCAGTTGGGTTTCTGAATAGCTGTTGTCTCCAGCTTCTGGTTTGTTGCTTGTTCCTTAACTGAAATTAGCTCTTACTGGCACTCTGCAGGAAACCAGAGAAACTCGAAATCAGTTAGTAAATTTTCTTGTAATGAGAGTTAAAAGAATTTCTCCAGAGATCTAAGTGACAGAAGACTTTGATGCTCAGAGTTTAACTAATGGCATGTTACAAGCTAATGGATTCATTCGTAGTTTCCCTTTCCCAGGAAGCTTTTATATTTCTGTAATATTTCAAGTAAGTCTAGTGTGTGATTACCTGATTTCAAAGAGATCTTGACAGAAGAAAAATACAGCCCTTCCTTTTTCTCATGCATTTAGGGAGAACTTGGCCCAGTTCATTGCATGGTAACACAATTTTGGAAATAGCATGTGACTGGACTGTGCTTCTTGTATCAGTTTGGTTTTTTTTTTTTTTTACCCCTTTTCTAGCCGTAACTTTATGGATTGAATAAATGTGTCTCTGGCTAAAATACAGAAATGCTGTTGGCCTTTATATCAATGGGCAGTCTTAGGTTAGATGGACGCCTTCAGCTTCTTAGGAGGCTTTTAGTTGCTTCACTTTTGGGAAGCTGATTTCTTAGGATTAAATACTACATTACAATAACAGGTTATTGCATAGTTCATCAGTTAGTGAGTTACAGGTTGTCCAACCAAGTTTAGTCTTGTAAACGTTTTTCTCTGTTTGTTTCCTGGAGGGCTTTGTGACCATGGTGTTAAAGTGTTCAATAGAAATGCGTACCATGAGCTACGCCTGGCGAGGACTAAAAGAACAGCTTGGCGAGGAAGTAGATGCCAAAGTATCTGCAATGCGTTTCCTCAAGGGGAAGACGGTAAGATGGCCCAACCTTGGGGAAGGAGGCGGGGTGTGTGTGTACACATATGGCCAGTTTTTGCAGTGATTGAGGCAGGAGTTCTGAAGTACCAGTATACAAATGTTGATACCTCATTATATCCCTACTCAATCTCATTTCTCAGAAAATGGTAACCGGTCATGAGGCCCCCTGTAACTGCTGTCTGTGTATACACTATAAAAAACCCCCCCAAACAAAACCTTACAGCTAGTTGAATATTTTAAAAGACTCTTATTTGAATGGAGACCTTACCCCTAAATGATAATGCAGGAATTCTCTCTAAAAAAAAAAAAAAGCATCAGAAATACGTATATAGTGGGAGTGGTTGTTGTGACCTTTATTCTTTCATTGTGAACTTGTGCTAACACTACATACCAGTGCATTGAAAAGATAGCTGTAGAGCAGGGTAGTGCCTGACCTGATCGGTACAGTATTCACCTGACTGTCAGCTTGACTCCTGAAACTTGTCCTCTGTGCAAGTGTGTTCTTAGAGAGCTTGTGATGCCAGGTGACACCTGTCTTACTTTCAAACAGACAGGCTGATTGCAGGCAGTGCTGCTGTCAGCACAGAGCATTTGAATCTGCATTTTGTTTTGAGCTTTTGTGTTTTAACTGCTTCTTTTCTTCAGCTTATAAAAAGCTTCCCCCAAAAGAGCATGCTTTCTACCATTTCTGGTTTCTACAGTTAGCGTGTATGAGCAGCTGCAGGTGCTGCCTGTCTGGAGTTGTGTGTCTCTGTTCTTGGATACATCTTTGGAAAGCAAATGCCTCTTTTTTTTTTTTCCTTCCCTGTTATAGGGGGTGTGCTTTGATATCCCTGTTGGCGAACTGAGTAACATACAGGTATGTTTTTGTAGCCAGAATTGGCTTTGGAACCTGGTGGTTTGGAATTTGGTGACTGCCATATGTAGGATTGAATATAAGGTGGTTTGGGAGGATAAGGTTTGTGTTTTAATAAGGACGTTGCACAGACAACACAGTCATTAGAAAGAGCACAGCACAGTTGTTAGAAAATACCCTGTCACGCCTCTTTCGCATTTCAGTGCTTATCATGTTACCTGACAAAATCTTATGTTCTTTGGCTACTCTGGGTTTTGACCTCTCCAGTGTATTTGAGAGTTAACCAGTTTTCTGTCCCTTTGTGATCGTTTATCCTTTGTCACAGGACTGTGAGTTGTCTCCCAAGAGGGATCTGCTGACCTATTTTGGCAAGGGTGGGATTTGTCTGGAAATGCCTTTGCATTCAATGTTGCTTTTAATGATATAGGGTACCTTGGACACACCTGCAGGCACATAAAGTCTTGTTATATTGGTCTTGTTTCAGGAACAGTGGAGGGACACCAGGCGCTGGCAACTGTTGGTGGCAAAGGAATTGCCTGAGCTGGAAGAGTACCCCCAGGAGGCAGGGCGAGGGTTCTCCAGGTTCGGAAATGGGAGGCAAGGTGACGGTGGCTTCAAGAGAAACAACTGGTTTAAGAATGGAAACCGGGGACAGGATTTTAACAGGTCACTTGATTAATCTCTGGTACAGATATGGGACTGAGCTGA